TGAATGGTTTGTTGATGTATTATTTGATCAGTCTCTTAAAAGTATTTACAAAGCTTTTTATGTTTTGCTTTCTTACTGGAGCAGTTCATATAGTACTTGTGTGTGTTTTTCATCCCTACATTATTATAATGACATTAATACTTGTGGAGACAAGTGAATTTTATTATAATCAGATGAAAACATTTATTTTGTTATTTAAGAACTGGTTTCCAAAGTGGTACTTATAATAAAAATCAACTGATACCTTGTCGATTTTAAGATTCTTTAGTGCAGCACTATTACTCATTTTTATCTCATACACGTAAATGCTTAATAGAAATGTATTGGGTGAGTGAAATACATGTTACATTGATGCATATGTGGCATATACTGCTAAATCATAAGTTGACCATATGTTTGAAAATCCCATTTATATTTTGTTTGAAATTACTTTCATCAGCTTTCTTTTTTATATCTTAACTTCTACGTATAAGGTATGTCTTTAGCCCATGTGTGTTTTTCCACATATATAATTTAAAGTATGTTGTGAGTTGATAATGACTTATTTATTCCTTCTCTTTCCCTCCATTCTTAGATTCCTTTTGCATCTTTAAATTCAAATCATATCACGGGTCTCTTAGCATCTGTGTTCCGTCTGTCCCCTATCCCCCTTTGTATTTTCAAATAAAAAGTGTCCTTATGTTAAATTGGGCTTTTCAAAACAGATAATTTGTTGTTCTTATGGTGGAATAATTCTCACTTTTATTCTAAGAATTGTGATGGGAAGATGAGCTAGAAATTCTTTCCAAGCCTTAGATTAAATCATGAAGGATAAAACGGTACAAATTCATGGTCATGAAAAGAAGTAAAAACTAAGAATGACACTTGTTAAAGAACAATGTATAACTGTAAACTTGATGCCAGGGAGTCTTTTCCTTGTGAAAAGACCTCGAAGTGGCTTTTATAAATATGAATGCATGACAGTGTGGTAGCAGCAGACTTGAGGTTTTATAGACAGTGAGGTTCTGACTTGTTATGGCCCCAACTAGAGAGCATGCGTGCCACAAACTACAGAGCCTATGCGCTCTCGAGCTCCGGTGCCATAACTAGAGAGAGAAAACCCTTCAGGCCACAACTAGAGAGAAACCCACGTGCCGCAACTAAGACCCGACGCAGCCAAAAAATATAAAGTCTTTATTTAAAAAAAAGATAAAGAAATGCTTTTCTACTATGTATATATAGACTGATTTGTTTTTGCTTCCTTTGCTTTGAAGGTTTTGGGTGTAGTATAGGGTAGGAGGTAAATGCAGTTATGTTGTCAGTCACTCTTATAGTCTTGACTGTGCCACTGTTTTTGTTTCCATAGGTGTTTTTTGTATAATGACTTCACACCTTCAACTTATTTTTACTTGAACTATTTAATACCATACTTAAAGGCATATTTCAAAACCCCTTTTCCTGTATTACAAAACTAATATGCTCCTATTGCAGAAACTTAGAAACTTTTTGCCACTTAAAAGTAATGGCTTACAAAAAGAAATGAAATTGAGTTATTTGTAGTGAGGGGGATGGACCTAGAGTCTGTCCTACAGAGTGAAGTAAGTCAGAAAGAGAAAAACAAATACTGTATGCTAACACATATATATGGCATCTAAAAAAAAAAAAGGTTCTGAAGAACCTAGAGGCAGGACAGGAATAAAGACGCAGACATAGAGAATGGACTTGAGGACACGGGGACGGGGAAGGATAAGCTGGGACGAAGTGAGAGAGTGGCATTGACATATATACATTACCAAATGTAAAATAGATAGCTAGTGGGAAGCAGCCGCATAGCACAGAGAGATCAGCTCTGTGCTTTGTGACCACCTAGAGGGGTGGGATAGGGAGGGTGGGAGGGAGATGCAAGAGGGAGGGTATATGGGGATATATGTATATGTATAGCTGATTCACTTTGTTATACAGCAGAAACTAACATACCATTGTAAAGCAATTATACTCCAATAAAGATGTTAAAAAAATAAAAGTAATGGCTTTTAATGATTTGCAGTATTATCTTTCAGTCTGTTTTCTGAATGTGTATATTAATCATAAATTTTAAAAAATTGTGATGTGTAGAGGCAGGAGGTATATATGAGAAATCTCTGTCTTCTGTTCCATTTTGCTGGGAACCTAAAACTACTCTAAAAAATAAAGTCTATAATGTCTATAAATAAGTATATTTATAAATAAAGTCTATAAAAATTGGGTCATATTATATTATAGTTTTATTTCCTGAGAAACTAGTTTAATTTTATTCTGAAAAAAATTTGTTTTGTGACTGTGATGGTTTATAGTGTATCATATTCTTTATATATGTTATTAAAATTCTATAGTTATTTTAATCTGTGGGGTTGGAAGTCAGGATCGTGGTTACCCTTAGCAGTGCTGCATAATAAAGACTGGAAGGGGGTACCTGAGATGGGTTCCGGGTGCTGTTCATTTTTGTGAAAAGTGAACTGTATACTTACGTGCTTTTTTCTGTATGTATATTATACTTTAATAAACTTTTAAAAGTTTAATAATTATTGAAATAATACTTTTAGGTTAATAAGATTAATAGGGAAAAGAAATGCTGAGACATTTCAGATGACTCTTTTCTTCAGTTGTGGTTAATAATATATAACTAGTTCATTTAAAAACGTGTAGTTACTTAGGCAATATTAACTTATATATGTGTCTGAGCTCCAGCTATTTGTACTGACATTTTATGGCTGGATGACAGCCTATGACATGTTTTCAAGGACTTTAAAACAGCAAAAAGTAAGAGTAGTGAGCCAATCTGAAGTGTGAGAACAGCTTAATCTATTCTAGAATTTTAGAATAAGTTGTATATGAACATATGAGGACTTTATCTAGCTTTTTCATCTCTGTGTCCCTAACTTTTTCTTATACTCAGCAATGTGTATTTGTTAAGTCAGTGAATCCCTGTTTTAGTTTGCTCAGCCATCAACTGTCCTCTCATCTGCTTTGAGTATTATCACTTTAAAAAAAGCACTTTGTCAGTTTGATAGGTGAAAATATCTTGTTTGAATTTGTGTTTTTTAAATTAATAAGTTTTAAAATGTTTATTAAATACATAGATTTAACTTTTTTGAGAATTATCTAGTTAAGTAGTTTGGAGAGTCGTTCAGTACGGTAGCCCCTAGACTCGTGGCTTTTTTTTTTTTTTAATTAATTAATTAATTTAGTTTTTGGCTGCTTTGGGCCTTTGTTGCTGCATGCGGGCTTTCTCTAGTTGTAGCGAGCGGGGGCTGCTCTTCGTTGTGGTGTGCGGGTTTCTCATTGCGGTGGCTTCTCTTGTTGTGGAGCATGGGCTCTAGGCGAGCGGGCTTCAGTAGTTGTGGCACGTGGGCTCAGTAGTTGTGGCTTGCCAGCTCTAGAGCGCAGGCTCAGTAGTTGTGGCGCATGGGCTTAGTTGATCCGCGGCATGTGGGATCTTCCCGGATCAGGGCTCGAACCCATGTCTCCTGCATTGGCAGGTGGATTCTTAACCACTGTGCCACCAGGGAAGTCCTCATGTGGCTTTTGAACAGTTAAAGTTGAGCTACTTTGAATTGAAATGTGCCATAAGTGTAAAATATAGACTGGAATTTGAAATCTTATTATGAAAAAAGGAATGTAAAATATCTCAGTAAGTTTTTAGTATTGGTTCCATGTTGAAATGATGTTTTAGATATATTGGCTAAATAAAATATTATTAAAATTAATTTCACTAGTTTTGTTTTGTTTCTAATGTGACTACTAGAAAATTTAGATTTACGTATGTGGTAACCATTATATTTCTGTTTGCAGAGCTGATCAAGACAGTAATCTAAACATTAGGTGACTAGGACCTGAACTTAGGGTAGTATTTATAGAAAGAGAAGTAAGGAGGGATTTTAAGAAATTATGCAATTGGCATATATGTTATATAATCTTGGGTGTTACATTACAGGCTTTTTGCAGTTTTGTGTGTTTCCATCATAGCTTTGTAACCAGTAGTAAGCTTTTTGAAGACAAGGATTTTATCACTATTTTAAAATTCTCCTCTGCATTTCGTCTTTTGCTGGGTGCATAGGAGCTTGATTGAACAACAATAATTAAAAGGACATCGAGGGCTTCCCTGGTGGCGGAGTGGTTGAGAGTCCGCCTGCCGATGCAGGGGACATGGGTTCGTGCCCAGGTCCGGGAAGATCCCACATGCCACGGAGCGGCTAGGCCCGTGAGCCATGGCCGCTGAGCCTGCGCGTCCGGAGCCTGTGCTCCGCAACGGGAGAGGCCACAACAGTGAAAGGCCCGCGTACCGCAACAAAAAAACAAAAAAAAAGAACATCGAATAATTTTATATACACAAAGTTTGAATTTTTAGAATGCAGGTCAATGATTCTTAGAGTTCCTATACCCTTTATTTTAATATCATAATATCACCAGTTAGCCATGTCAGTCATATCTTTTTTAAAAGGTGCAAGTATAAGGGAACTAACATCTAGTCTTATATATATACCAGGCTCTGGGTAGTCATTTTATATCTTTCTTCATTTAGTCCTTGTAGTAACCCATGAGAAAGATATCAACCATTATTTTACATATTAGAATATTGAGAATGACTATTTTTTCCAGTGTTATGTTAACCAACCCAGATATGCCCAGCTTCAAAATTAGCCCCTTTTCCGTTGTAGTTTACTCTCTCGATTAAAGTTAGCCGCTTACTTTAAGTGATTTGAAGTTAGTTTGTTGTTGTATTGGACATGAAGTATGTGAAGAATAATCTTTAGAATAAAATGTGTAGTGATAAATTTTGATAGTTTATGATGTATTATATATTCCGGTGTTCAATATATGAAAGGAAATTTATAAATAACTAAAACCTTAGAGAAAGAAAAAAAAGCATGTTTGTTTTTCATTCTAATTTTCTTGGTGTGTTGTAATTCTAGAAATTTCACTGTAGTTCATGAAAAAAATAAAATTTTAAAATAGTTTTAAATATTTATTTTGTCTTTTAGATAAAATCAAAGACAAAATTAAAGAAAGGGATAAAGAAAAGGAAAGAGAAAAAAAGAAGCATAAAATAATGAGTGAGATCAAGAAAGAAAATGGAGAAGTAAAGATTTTGCTGAAAAGTAAGTTTATATTAAGTGATTTCAGTTGTACTGTGTTACATTGTTCAGTATATATGTATTGGCTTAGTGATTAAAGTAAGAAATGTTATTTGGTGCTGAATTTTGCTGGGAATAAACATTTGTGGTCAGACTATGAAAGGTAAATATAATAGTGGGGTTTTCTAATCTGTGTAGTAATATGTCTTTAGTATATTTATTTAGTGAGTTATTAGAAAGTACTAAAGGTAATTATAAGGTTCCTTAAATTATTTGAAAATAGGCTCTCTAACTCTGTGTTTATATTACTAGTCTTTATCCATATTTAGATAATCTAAAATAAAAGGCTAAAGAAATTTTTAGCATGATAGTTATGGTGGAGGAAGAGATCTTACCAATATTTGATGATAATCACCATAGCATAGTCTGGGATTTAGAGGGAGCATTTTACTCTGAGCTAAATAAGAAGGTGTTGTTTTACTGTTTGTTTCTTGCATGCTTAAGAATATCCTCTTTTTGTTTCCTGTTTTTTCTCATTACAACTATTTTTAGTTGTTGTTTATACATAGGGGTGGATGGTGAGGTAATAATATAAATCCTGTCAATAAATCTGAACTTTTCCAGAGAGAATTTGTGATAGAAGGATAGTTTTAAATTCACTCAGATAGCAAGGTAAGAAGAATCAGTGGCATTTGGTTGCTAGATAGCTAGCAAATTCATTTGCTGCCTCATCAAGTTAACAATTTGTGGATCAGAACACGTTGACTTTGATTAATTTCATATTGAATTTATGTGTGGATAAGCCTTTCTATCTGCATAAGGGAGAAAAGGCCATAGCACTGTAGGTGCAATGAAATTACTGGTTAATTTATATTATTTAAGGTAAACAGTATTAGATTCTATAATTTCATTTCATTCTTTGTCATGTTTCCAGATGTTCTTTGGTGGCACTTTGTCTAAGCTCTATTTTCTACTTGTCAGAACTTTATTTTCTATAAAATTCTTTTGACCTTGAAGAAACATGTCAGAGCTTAAGTTGATGGCTACTTGGTGAATGCTCATGGTCCTTCTGTTCTATTTTTTTGCCAGTGTGTTTTATCTATGTTGTCTAAATAGACTGTAAGCCTTTGAGGCAGGAGTTGAATATAATCACACTAGTGCTCTACAGCAGCTAATGATTAACACTTGAAATGTTTTCTTACCTTTACCCTCTTGGTTTAGTCAAATAGTCATTTTTTATTGGTTTAGTCATATAGTCATTTTGTTATCCGTTTGTACAGTGATGTAAATTCCTGTCACTTGGTTGAATGTTAGATTCCTAACATACGATTAATGTGAAGTATGTGAACGTAGAAATTACGTGTGCAATCAGAATTTTAAATAGCCTGAAAAGTGGAGATTTTCCAGTAATATACAGTGGTAACCTTGACTTTGAAGTAAATGAAAACTTTAAGAGGTATTTTAAACCGAGCTAAACTAAAACCTAGTGATGATAGAGGGGAAAAAAAGAGATAGATTTGGAAATAAATTGGTGACCTCTGGGATGACCATAGGAAAATCTATTTATTGTAAAATGGAGGTAAATAATAATTTAATTACTGTCTTACAGGGTTGCAGAGATTAAATGAGGAAAAGTAAGGGAGAAGTGCCAAGTACAGTTGTCTAGCCCTCAGGTATTCAATAAGTAGCTATGAATGTTACTTATAAACACATGAAAGATTAACTCTTGTGATTAAAAACAATGACAAAACTATCTCCCCTCCTAGTGGTTAGTATATAGATAATTAAATGAATAAAAACATGATTAATTTGAGAAATTGTGCCTGTCCCATGGTAAGCACTGAGTAAGTGTAAGCTATTGTTACCATCCGGCAAAAACAATTTGTTCTGCTTGTGTGGCCGGCCATTTCCCAAGTGAGCCTTATGATCAGGGAAAGGCATCCTTTGTTACTGGTGTCCTGGAGCAACAAGAGAATCAGTTAAGTGGGGGCAGTAAGTATCCTATTATTTACTACTTTATGTCCCTTTTTCTTTTATGGCTTTCAACTTTTATTCTCTCCTTAAAATTTTCTCCTTCTGATAATGCTAACAATTGCAAGCTATGGCAGACGCAGGCATTGATTGATTGGTGATGACACTTGAATATCTGACAGTAGATGCTAACTCTCACTCCATGGGACTTGCCTGGTGGCCCAGTGGTTAAGAGTCTGTGCTTCCATTGCAGGGGGCACGGTTTGATCCTAGTCCAGGAACTAAGGTCCCGCATGCTGCGGGGCACGGCCAAAAAAAAAAAGAAATTTTTTTTTAAAAGGGGGAAAAAAATAAAGTAACTAACTGTTAACTCCACACCAGTCTTATTTCTTCCACATTTTCATTAAAAACTGTGTTATGACTAGAAATATGTACATGATTATATACATGCCAGAAATGTTTTATTGATGCAGAAATCTTGTAAATGTTTTTCACTGATAAAATAGGAGTTTGCTTTATTAGAAACAGTTTAAAGGAACAAATAAATTTGAAACATAAGCTTATTTAGCTCATCCTTTTATATCTAATGTCTACCAACTACTTTTTCTGAGTACACTTATGTGTTTCAGCCGTTTTATGTTGTTTATTGATAAGGTGTGAGAACATGGATGTTATGATTATAGTATTCTTGAGAGTAAATTTTATCATTATAGCATATCAGTGAAGCTTGCTGACGAGCAGGTAGAAAGGGGATGAAAAGAAGCCAGTGTTCAAGGTTATTGGTAGTGTACTAAAGGTCACAGGTAGGTAATTCATGACAGGAGGAGCGAAGATGTTGCTGTGTCAAAAAAGGAAAGTCATTCCCCAAAGACCAAAGGTTGAAAATAGCTAAGCTAATTACTGCTTTCTGTGTATGATAATGGAATTATATATATATATATATATATATATATATATATATATATATATATTACTTCCCATATTAGATATGAAATCATATCCAGTATCTCTGGGCAACCTTTATTTTTCCTTTATTAACACTAAAAATATACTAAGGTTAGGAGTGGAAATTAATTCCAGTGATTTTGTGATTTTTAAAGATTTTTTAAAAATAATTTGCCATTAACAACGCATGCTGTTTTTTTAATCTGTGTGTGGTTTTTTTCTGTCTCTGTATGAGTTCTTCTTTCTTCTGATTGTGTGTGTGTCTCCATTTCTCTCTGTGTCAGATTCTCTCTTTGGCTATCTGTGCATGTGTGTGTCTGCTTGGTGTGTGTGTGTGTATGTGTGTGTTTGAGGTCCACTATGCATATGTGTGTGGCTCTTTGTGGGGAGGGTCTCCCATCAACCTTATACTTTTATACTTTTTGAGGGTCCATATTACTTAGCAATTCTTTCCGTTATAGGTATTTACCAGGATCCTTTAAAAAAAAAACACTGTAGTTCTGATTTATTGGGCTCTGTTTGAAGAATTATGAATTTAGAGTAAATATGTACTTTAAATACCTTTTAGTATAAGAGAAAAACATTAGCATTCAAAATGATCTTATCTCCTTAAGTATTTAAAAATTTCCTACATATGTATCTGTTGCATTTCATGTATCATTCCAAGACATTAAATGAGTGAGAGATTGTATAAAACTTTAAAAAAAATTACCTAGTAAAGGCTAGTGCCTTGATTTGATTTAAATGTAAAGAATGCATTTTACCTGTACCCACTGAGGGGGGATCCCCAAGACTACCCCCAGGTTTGATGATTTGCTGGGAGAATTCACAAGACTCAGCATAAATTTGTACTCATGGCTGTGATTTATTATAGTGGAGTATATAAAGTAAAATTAGTAAGGAGAAAAGGCAACATGTGGCAATTTCTGGAGGAAGCTAGGCACAAGCTTCCAAGAGTCCTCTCCTAGTGGAGTCACAAAGGATGCACTTAATTCTTCCAGCAGTGAATTGTGATAAAATATGTGAAATGTTGTCTACCAGGGAAGCTCATTAGAAACTCAATAGTCAGGGTGTCTACTGGGAGCTGGTCACATAGGCACCCCCTGTGTAGCATGTAGCAAAATTCCAGAAGGAAAACAGGTGTTCAGTGTAAACCATATTGTTTGCACAAACAGTTCAGGTACACTGAGCCACTCTTATCAAGGAATGGTAGTAACCTTCCCAAAATACAAGTTCTCAGATACCAGCCAGAGGCCACCCTTGCAAGCAGGCCTAAGGATAGCAGTCTCAGATGTGTTATGTTTAAGTCTTTTCTGCACACTGTGCTCACTTTAGTGTTTAATTACAGAGTAGTTTATCATGGAAGTTTAATTACTTGATGCTCAATATAATAGTCTCTTGACTAATTTCTTATTAGTTTGTATTTTCCAGTTTCTATTATACTACTACTGTTTTCATCCATCCTTGTGACTAAGAAATAGACAAACTGTTGTACCTATTTTATTTTAAAGTAACATGACTGGATATTTACTATTTTAACTTTAAAATATGTGTTAGTTGTAAATATAATAGGATATTAAGCTTATTTTTTCATTCAAATGAAATTCTGCTTATTTTGGCAAACCATTTAATTTGTACAATTTTACATGTATTTCCAGTTTAGTTATTAATTATACCTAAGCCCGTTAAACTTTAAGTCCTGTTTTTTAATACACTACTGTCTTTTTTGCTTGACTCATTTGGATTTTACTTACATATATTGAATATAAACCTCTTTTTTCTTTCATTTTGATTAACTCCCAGTTTTTTTTTTTTTTTTTTTTTGCGGTACGCGGGCCTCTTACTGCTGTGGCGTCTCCCGTTGCGGAGCACAGGCTCCAGACGCGCAGGCTCAGTGGCCATGGCTCACGGGCCCTGCCGCTCCGCGGCATGTGGGATCTTCCCGAACCGGGGCACGAACCTGCGTCCCCTGTATCGGCAGGCGGACTCTCAACCACTGCGCCACCAGGGAAGCCCTTAACTTTTTATTATTAATTTTTTCCTAAGATTTTAACCTGAATCTGATGTTTTGATAGTTTATACCTGGGTAGCAAGTATGAATTTGTTAATATATTTTAAAACTACTTACATATAGACTCGAGAAAATTAATACTGTATAAAGTGTTGCATTTTATGACTTTGCAAACCTGCATAATCAATAATGTTGACAGATTTTTAGTTTTGCTTTTCATAATGATACCAATTTGGTCTCCATTGCATACTTAGGAATTTTTAGAAGAGATAGTTTATTATTAACATTAAACTTTGTTTTTTCAAGAATTGCTATGAACTTGAGAGAATATTTATGGTTGTTGTTTCAGGGTTAGGATTTAGTGATAGTATTCATATGGTGAAAAACTGACTGAATGGGAGACAAGGGAAAAAACCTATGAACTTCAGGTAGTCTGTTGGTGAGAGAAATCTTTGCATTCATGGAGTCATTAAATGTTCATCTGTAGCAGTGTACTAGATGCCAGGAGGGATTTGATGATTGGTAAAAAAAAGTGTTTCACTCTGAATTCATCAAAGTTACTTGTTTCACTCATACAGTATCCTGAAGGACATATATTATACAGGCATCCTATGAATGAAAAAATAATAACTTTATATGACCATATTCATAGATATAGAATATATAATAACATGAGCTTAGAGTGAAGTGATTTCAGTTCCAACTACAAAGATGAGGGAAAACAAAATGAAGAAGATGATGTAAGACTAGTCTTTAAAGGATGGGTAAGAAAGAGTTCAGTAGTAAGTACTAGGCAGGGCAAGGATATTTTAGGGAAAGAAAATGCCTTTGCCAGTAGTAGGAAGATAAAGTAGGACTAGGTATGTTTCATAAGAAGTTGTAAGTAGTGCAGATTGGACCAGAGCATGGCGTACTTGAGGGCATTGACTCTGGATTCCAGACTGAAGAGGTTGTATTTGAGAACGCTTGAAAGCAGTTGAGTCAAGGGATGAACATGATCAAAGCAATATATAAAGCGTATAGAATGATTAATATGGCTCCCGCATTAAGGATGAGAGATAGTCATGAGGCTTTTAGACCAAAAATTAAGGCAGTAGTATCATGGAAGTAAAAAATAATCAAGGATGAGTTGGGTAATTACATAAAACATTGGAGAGATCAGGAAGAGCGATTTGAGAGAATATCATTGGATTTGATATATGAACATTCTGGGAAAGTAAATTTGAGTAGACTGGAAGCAGACCCAGAATTTAGGGGATAAGAATGGTCAGTTAATAAAGGAAAGGCACTGGGCATTGCAGTTTTTTATAAGAAGTTTGATGGTCAAAAGAAGAGGATAGAGAACTTTAAGCAAGGGTTTTGGAGTTGATGGGATGGACTTATTTTGGGGAAGTAGGCAGGACATCTCATTCACCAGAGACAGAAAAGAATAATAGAGATATGTGAGGATGGAAGAATTTGGCTAAAGAAGCAGGTTGAGAAAACTTAATTCATGACAGGTTATCTATAAAAGTGAAATAACAGATGGAAACAGTGAATGCCTTCTTTCCTCAACTGTTATCTTAATGGCTTTTTTCATATTATCTTAGGAAGCATAATATTTTCTCGTGAGGATGTTTACTCTTTTCTATTTTTCTTATCGTATAGAAATAAGTATACTGTGATAATGTTGTATTTATATATGTACACTTAAATTCTATAGCTGTATAGCCTCTGTGGATTAATCTTTTATTCTTTGGATTTCTGAATTACTGAGCCCGGGGTCTACTTGCCTTTGGCTACAGAAACTCATTAATATATGAACTTACTATGACCCATGTCTTTTTCTTTCTTTCTTTCCTTTTTTAAATTTCTCTCTTTACCAGTACATGGATATCATTTGTACTTAGGACATGATAAATGATTCTAATTTTGTCATGTCTTATGGTACCTTGTTAGGTCTTCACTGGAAACTTTGTAGGCTCTAGTAGATCTAACATAGCCCATTTTGGATGAAAGAGTACTTTACCAAGGAGGACACATGGTAAAAAGCTAAGGAATTGCTATGTTTGTTGCTGATACACTATGCAAGTATTTTTCTCCTTTTATGATTTGTAAGTCTTGACACCTATATGCAATTTTTAAGAATTTAAAGTAAAAATGATATGTATTGATGGAAAACATCTGCAGGGCGTTGTTCATATTGACTTTTGTTCATCTTTCCATTTCTGACTTTCTGTATTTAGAATTTGAAGATTATGGTTTCTAAAGCATTTGTTTCGTTACTTCAGTAAATACTGATTGAGCATCTGCTACATGTCAGAATGGTACCATGCACTCTAGGCATAACTTTTTCTTAAGCCTTCCTCTGTGTGTGTGTGCCTGTGTGTGTGGAGAGAGAGGGAAAGAACCTGACTAAATTGTGATTGTCAATACTGTGTAAAACAAGTCCCAAATATAAACTTCATTCTGAGTGAATTTTGCTTATTTATTATAAAACAAGTCCTAAAGCGTGGTTTTTAAAGAAACTAAAATACAGAGTTTCAAAAAAAATGTTTCCCAACAGGTGGGAAGGAGAAACCAAAAACAAGTGTAGAAGACTTACAAATTAAGAAGGCAAAGAAGAAGAAGAAAAAGAAACACAAAGAGAATGAAAAACGGAAGCGTCCAAAAATGTATAGCAAATCTATTCAAACCATCTGCTCAGGATTGCTGTCTGATGTTGAAGATCAAGAAGCCAAAGGCATCCTAAGTGATAACATAAAGGAGTACAGTGGAAAGAATTTGGATACCAAGAACTATGATTCCAAAATTCCAGAGAACAGTGAGTTTCCATTTGTCTCATTAAAGGAGCCACGGGTTCAGAACAACCTCAAAAGGTTGGACACTTTGGAGTTCAAACAGCTCATTCATATTGAGCACCAGCCTAATGGAGGTGCATCAGTTATCCACGCCTACAGCAATGAACTCTCCCACCTGTCTCCTGTGGAGATGGAGAGGTTTGCAGAAGAGTTTGTGGGTCTGGTGTTCAGTGAAAACGAGAACTCTGCAGCTTTCTATGTAATGGGTATTGTTCATGGGGCAGCTACTTATTTACCTGATTTTTTAGACTACTTTTCATTTAATTTTCCCAATTCACCAGTGAAAATGGAGATATTGGGAAAGAAGGATATAGAGACAACAACTATGTCCAATTTTCATGCTCAGGTAAGAGGTTTTAGTTTTTTTATTTTAACTTTTAATTATATGTTTTAGGCAAGTTTCTGTTCTTTGTTCCTCATTTTGCTATAGGTTTGAAATAAAGAGATAAGAATATAATGAAACCTCTTGGGAATATTAAGAATAAATTACTTTCTTGATGTGAATGCTAGAGGTTAAATTTCAGCTTCTATTTATCTGTGTTTTTTTTTTTTTTTAAAGAAAATCAGTGAAATAATTAAGATTCTGTTGTCCTTTTTACCGTGGATTTATTTTGGAAGTGAAATGAATTTCGCTATGTATTTTTCCAGTCCATACAATAGTTCTCTTACTTGAACATCACTTAAAATTGTCTTCTTGCTTTATGCAGTAATGCTTTAATGCTTAGCATTGGATTCATCATGTGGAAGGTGCTGAATAAATGTTGGCTATTAAATATATTGTGATACAAAGGAATCATCAGTTAAATATGTGATTATGTGAGAAAATGAGCAGACCAGTGCATATATTGAGCTACTTTCTATTTCCTACCCTTCTCTGTGTTGTGGAATATAGATTATTTTAAAAGCAGAGACAGGGCTTCCCTGGTGGCGCAGTGGTTGAGAGTCCGCCTGCCAATGCAGGGGACACGGGTTCGTGCCCTGGTCCGGGAAGATCCCACATGCTGCGGAGCGGTGGGGCCCGTGAGCCATGGCTGCTGAGCCTGCGCGTCCGGAGCTTGTGCTCCGCAACGGGAGAGGCCACAGCGGTGACAGGCCCGCGTACTGCAAAAAAAAAAAAAAAAAAGCAGAGGCAGAATCCAGTCCGCTGGCTCTTGGAAGTGAATGTAGGCCCATCTAAGTCTGGTGCATTGTTACTCATTCTCAGAGCAGAGACTGCTTAGGTCAAAGATCAGCCAATTTTCACATTTATTTGTGCTAAACTTTCGGTATTGTAAGTAATAATTGACATTCTAGTTTGGAAAGAGGAAAAAAGTGAAGAAAGTTTCAAAGGGATCTTTTAGTGATCAGCTCTCCCGAACTTTCTCAACTTAAACAAACATAGATAGGAGTAACTTAGGGTTTTAAGGTTACTCAGTGCCAGGTTACACAACAGTGCCAGGAATGGAACAGTGTGTGGCTAGGTTGTGGGTCTCAAGTCCTTGAAGTGCCACCTACCCTGGTTGCTATTACCTCTTAGGGTTCTTGGATAATATGTATGGCACAGAGGAAACTCTAGGCAGATGCATCCTCTTTGTTACCAGTTGTGGCTCTGGCCCCCTATCTAATGTGATCTGCAAGGACTGCTTTTAAATAATTAATTAATTAATTAATTAGGCTGTGTTGGGTCTTCGCTGCTGCTCCCTAGTTGTGGTGAGCGGGGACTACTCTTTGTTGTGGTGCACGGGCTTCTCATTGCAGTGGCTTCTTGTTGTGGAGCATGGGCTCTAGACGTGCGGGTTTCAGTCTTTGTAGCATGCGGGCTCAGTAGTTGTGGCTCGCGGGCTCTGTAGTTGTGGTGCATGGGCTTAGCTGCTCCGCGGCATGTGGGATCTTCCTGGACCAGGGCTCGAACGCTGTCCCCTGCATTGGCAGCTGGATTCTTAACCACTGTGCCACCAGGGAAGCCCAAGGACTGCTTTTAGTTCTGCAGCTTTAGATTTCGTGGCAGGAAGCTGCCTGTGCACGGTCCATGTGCCTTTACCTCAGTATCCTCCAGATCCAGCCATTCCTATGGTATGAAGAGGACTATCTAGCGAAAAGCTTTCCTGAACTGGTCATTTGATGTTTCCCCAAACTGGATTTTTACTTTGCTTGTTTTTTTAAGAGCTTAGAAGACTGAGGAAGTTGTTTTCTGCAGACCAGTTTTGTTTGTTTGTTTAATTAAAACCAGAGCAGCGAAAAGAATTTGCCCTAAATTCTGTAGAAACTAAAAGAGGACAGTATAGGTAAGATGTAGCTGTTTCTATGATCTTTATAGTGATAATGCTTATCTTTGTGATAATACTCTAGTTTTCACAGAAATTCATTTTTGCATTTGTTTAGCCTTTATCCTTGAAACATGTTAACTTGATTTTTTTGTGTGTGTATGGGTATATATGTATACACACATGCACGTGCACATGCACACACACAATACTGACAAAAGGATCAAGACATCCTGTTGATTTTGGAATTCTTTTTACTTGCATAATTCTATATTTCGTCTTCATCTATATCCCTGCCGATTGCCTGAAGAATCTGAAGACATGGTAGAATTATATATTGTCTTGTAGGTCATGTCATTTTTCTGATGTTAGTGGTATAATATCAATCAAACTGTATGAAATAAAATTCTGTTTGAGAATAGAAATGGATTTTTGTAAAAAGTTTGTAACCTATCTATATCAGTTATTTTGCTGCAAATCAAACCGAAACCCTCAAAACTAAGTGGCTTAAAGATTTTTCTCACAATCTGTTGGACTCTCTGGACAGTCTTTGTCAGCTCAGCTGGGGGCGGCATGGCCTCAACCATGTCTGATGGTTTGCTGGTCAGTTGGTCTCAGGAGACCTTGCTTATTTGTCTGGCGGTTTGGTGCAATGTCGATTGGGGTGATAATCACATTTTTCTCATCATTTAGCAGGTTAGCCTGGGCTTGTACACATGTTGATAGTTGCAGGGTAAATAGAGCAGAAAGAGGGGGCAAGCCTCTGCTTGTTTTGTGTTTGCTGATGTCCCATTGGCCAAAGGAAGTCATGAGGCCAAGCCCAGATTCACTTCTTGATGATAGGAGTGACACAGTAACATTGCTCAGAAGTGAGCATACATGCTTGGGAAGAGTTTTTGGCCATTTGAACTCATCCACATCTGTCTTAGTTTTTCTACCATCTCTATTTTCTTCAAATACTCATTTGGACATTGATCGTTCTCCTGTGCCTTTGATGGTAGGGAAACAGAAAGGCAAGTAAGACAGGAGTTTTATCTGTCAAGAAACAATTGAGATTTCTGTCTTGCCATACAATGTTTAATCAGCATGCACTCCAAACTCTGTAGTAAGAACTGTGAGAATATGAAAACTGGGGCAATTATCTTCTAATCACCCTTTTCCCTCCCCCAAACTCTAAATCTTATTTTTTATTTTAGCCTGGTTCTGAGTTGCTTGTAGCAAATAACTTATGTCAATGTTAACTCATAATTAAATGGCTAATATTTTAATAGTGAAACAGTTATTAAATCTGGTTGGATCTGTTAGCCTTGCCTCTCTGCAAAATGAGGGGAGAGAACTAACATTTATTGAATTCATGGGTCATTCACCATGCTAGGCCAGTAAAGATGATTTGCCATACCGTCGTCTTTGACCACTGCCAGCCTTTGTACTGAATTTTCATTTTGACCAGTTGTGCTTGTCATGTCCTCCTTGAATGCTTTTGAACTGATCTGTTATGGCAGGTACCAGATGTTCTAATTGAGAGACTTTTTCCTTTTTGTACTAGTTTAAAAATGATTAATAACAATTTTATTCTTACTTTAGTTATAGTTATATGGATATTTTTGAAATGTTGATTATATGTTATTTCTTGTTATATGTTTTAATTTGAAAGGATATGCCAGATGTGATGGGGAATGGCTCCCCCTTGTGGCACACATATTTTTGTTAGATGTTCAGATTGCCTCAGTAGGAATGTGGTGAGCTGGTCTTGTTTTTTAAAATACGAGACTCCCTTCTTTCCTCTTGCCCTCTCCCCCAAAAAGCTCACCAGAATTGAACCAGTAGCCTCTTCTGCCCTCACCCCCTCAATTTTTTGCTGTAATAACTGTCCTGTTTTTGTGTTTTCTTTGGATTAATGATGATACTAGCTAGAAGCATCTATAATATCTTCTATATTTATTATGGATAACTATACTGTATAAAGTATAAAGTATTTATAACGTATTCTGTGGAATTCTTACTATCTTGGGATGTTGATAGGTACACTAAAAGAAAACAAATAAATAAGAAAAACAGGTTTTGAAGTCAAAATAGTTTGTCTAATACTGGGCCAAATAAGTTATGTTTGTTTACTGTGAGACTTCTCAGAACCTAGCCTTTAATAGTGTGTGGTGAACCTCTCAAACAGGAAGAGTTTTCCAAACTTACTGGACTTTAGAATCCTCTCTTCAGGGACTGACATATCAGGGAATACATTTTGGGAAACAGCATTATTTCAAGTGAGTCATGCCTCATGGTTTTTTGAATTACATGTGTCCATATTTGCTTCCCTTGTTGCAGCAGTTTTTATAAGTAAAATAAGAGAAAGCAGTATTGAGACTTATAGATTTACTTTTGGCAATGTATTTCCTGTCATAAAGGCTACTTTTTTCTTTGTAGCAAGCCAAACTCAGAATCATAAGGTTGTGTTTTTGTTTTTTAAAGATTATTTACATAAAGAAAAATGAATAGGATTTAGTTTAAACGTAATGTAACAGTTCTTTTCTCATTAACCAAAGCTTCTGAGATTTTGTTATTGACACTGGCAGAGGGTTCAAGAAGTCTTTTATTTCCTGCTCTCCAGTCTCCCCCACCCCCCCTTTAAAACATTTATAGAGAATAAATGAAGGGAAATGTGAAAATACAGTCATGGTGGTGGTAGGGTTTTTGCTGGGTAGGGAGACTCTAGGGGAGGTTTAGATTAAAAATGTTACATCTGTCAACAGCTTTTGCAAATATATGAATAAGTATCATTTCTGTCTTTTATTGTGTTTTTTGAGAAGTATACCTAAATTGGGAGGAACAATATGTGTCCTCTTTGTAACTCTACATTTCCCTTTTAGGAAGCATATAGGGTATGTTTTAAAGCAGTGACATTTTTTGGTATTTCCAATTTAATTTTTTAACTGCATCAGAAAACTGATAGTATGATGAATGTTTACTGAAGCCAAATACAGTAATTTCACGTCAAGCGTCATCAGGATGTGAGATTTTCCAGATTAGTGGTTTTTCTAGATAATGGAAGCATACAGTTGTAAGGACCAAGATTTATCCTTTTCCTGAGCATATACAACATAACTTA